CCCCAAAACCCCAAAACCCCAAAACCCCAAAACCCCAAAACCCCAATTTTATACCAACTAGGATATTAAATAATTCTGTCAAAATAGTAATGTCTCTTCCGAAGATATTGGTCATTTACAAAGAGAAGGAATGTACTAGGACTCTATCCCAACTGCTAGCTTTAGTATGCTTACAAATTTAACAGCTATAGATCCAATACATGTGTCCTCTAGGTGAGATCTCAGAGAAGCAGGAGCTCAGTATTGAAGACATAAAGGAAGGGCAGGAATACGATGTGCACATCAGTACGAAATATTATGATGCTGATGCTCAAATCGTGTTTTATCACTACCATCCTGACGATATTGACGATATTGACGATATTGTCAGTGCAGTTGATAACCTGAACATAGTAATTCACCTATTTGAGCAAGAAGAGGAGCTTGATGACTACCTCAAATTCGTATTAGCGTTTTCGAAGAAAGTTGAGGCAGAGATGTCCCTTTTGGTAATTCTCTTCGTAATTTTTGTAGGTACATAATAGCGAGAAAGACAAACTTGAGGATAAGTATGAGAAATTGATCCATACACTTTGAATTGACATATTTTTGGAGTTTATGAGGACTAATATCCAGCAGAAATTCGATAACCCTATCATTGAAAAACAAGGAATGCTCTCTGAAGGAAAAGTGGGCATGGACAGGCTAATCGAAGCACTTCAGTGCAATATGTGGCCTAATATGGTGAGGAAGCCTATGGATGATCTCAAAGCTCAGATGATGAGAGAATTACAGAGAGAGGAGGAAGATGAGAAAATAGAGGAAGTTAAGGAAGAAACTATGAATGAAGAAAAGACCTTGGAAGAGGAGAAACAAGAGACAAGTAGTGCAAATGAGCTTAAAGATGAGCAAAACTCTAATAAGACTCCAGTATATTCAGATCCTTTGAACCCCTTACTTCCTATCCCAGATTATGCTAAGACTTGTCATGAAACTAATCCTAACAATTTTGAGGAGGAAGAGCGAAACCTTGATGAGCTTGGTTCCCTCATGGCCCAGGTGAAGACCCTCAAAGAGTCTGTAAAGGGCATGACACTAGAAGAAAGAAGGGAGAACGCAGAAAATATGATAAAGTAATTCACCACATAACCCTCTTTAGAAAAATAGCTGGATTCATGAACCTCGGAGATGATGAAGACCTGTTCGACTCAGATGATGACCCAGAATACAATAAAATCATATCAGCCAAAATCGATGAGGAGGAGGCCAAGAACAAATTAAAGCCATCTGAAGAAAAAGAGTAGATATTTTCAACCTAAAACAACTAATTTGGGGTTTTGGGGTTTTGGGGTTTTGGGGTTTTGGGGTTTTGGGGTTTTGGGG